GGCCCACTCACTGGGAGGTAATCTTTGACCATAACACGTTCCTTTCAGAGGATGTGCTACGGCATCCGAAGGCCACAGAGGAGGAGGAGGGGAGGGGAAGGGCCAAGCTCACAATGCAGACGGGGCTGGACGAAGGCCAGGGTCGTGTCCTCCTGGCCTGTGGATGCCTCGGGTCCTGAAGGGGACAGAGCGGGCTTCATCTGTTGGTTTTTGGTGTTTGGACATAGTCATCTTTGCTCGGGCTTTCTGATGTTCACCAGCCCTTGCTCTGCCTCGCGTCTCAGAATAGGAGAGCCCGGGGCGGGACGGCGGAGCGGTGGCGGGACCTCCACTGGTGTTTCAAGTATTGTCCTTTACATAGTACTTTGTCCAGTCATGAAGCTGAGGAATCGTGCGCGGCTACTTAAGCCATTATGGAACTCCAGTGCCCGCATTTGAGGATGTCCTTCGTGTAACTTATCCCTGCAGAACTTCACCGCGGGAAAGGGCGCAGGGAGACAGTGAGCCCGGGGACCACTCAGGGCCTGCCCCCTGCAAACGTGCCCGCTTTGGGAGCTGGACCCTTGCACGAAGGGACTCCCAAACAGCAGCGCGGTGCTCTCTCCCCACTGAGCTTTGCACGTCAGCACGTGCAGGCTCCGCCGGCCGCGCGGAGGGCGCCAGCCCATTCTCAGTGGAGAACTTGACCCTGTGGGCCTCGATCGGAAGATACGACGCTTTCAAAAGTCCAAAGTGTGCCCGGGATACCCCTCAGCCCGCACAGCGGAGAGCGCTGCCTGCGGGTACAGCGCACGCGGGTGTGCCAGTGCACACGGTGTGCCAGCCCGCACTCTCACCACCTGACACCTGACCACGCTCGTTTTTCCAACAAGGGCGCCCAGCACGTTGCTGGGGTCGGCGCGGAAAGCAACTAGCAAACCCGGTCCTCCCCTCCCCGCACCCGCACGGCTGGCTAAACCAGCAGCCGCAGCGCCGACCCTCGGTCCTGAGGCCCTCGCTCCGGGGTGCGGGGTCAGGGGTGCGTTCCGGGGCACCGC